TTGGCTATTGCTACAAATATACCCATGCTACTCATGACTGGTTTTGTGGTCCAGGGTCACATATTACAAAACTAAAAACATTACGAATTTGAAAACTGAAATTAAAAAATAAAACTAATTCAAATATTAATAAATACATTTAATATAGTATATAAACAATACAAGTCTTATGATAGTATGTTATGATATATTGCAAGTGTGATGTTGCTTCTATACAAAAGTGCAGTAAACATGATCAAATTGGGTAACTTACATTTTAGACATAATATTGCAAGTTATTTTTGTTATGTTTGGCAGCATATTCAAAAGCGAAACATGAAACTGCGAGCAAGAACAATGGTGTTTCATTTCTTGAATAAATCAGTGTTTTTGAATGAATCTTGCACATAAAGACAGTCCCTTGTTTCGTTCATGAATGAATCAGCGGTTTTAAATGAACTGTTTGAATGAACGATTCAAGTACTCACTTCTATCATGAGCAAATCTGTTTTTGAACGAATTGGTTGAGTGAATGATTCAATAAATCACACATAATGAAATTCAGTTGTTTCGTTCCTGAATGAATCAGTGTTTTGAATGAATCGTTCAATGACTCCATGATTCACTCATAAAGACGGCCACTTGCCGCCACTTACTGAGGTAACTATTTGTGATTTGTTCCACAGAAGACATAATGATGTAAGGGGTTGTAAATAATGACCATTTTTCATTAGTTCTATGAACTATCTCTTTAAATAAGCTGCAGGAACACTTTGAAGCTTCTTCTATTCATATCCCGCTATTTAATCAGTTATTATTTAAAGCAGGGGATATACTTTTCAAAGCCAGGCAGATAAAATGAAGTATGCAGACTTTTTGAGACAAGGATCTAGTCATGCACACATACGTATTCAAAGGCCCCGGTGGGTCATTACAGGAATGAGAATGACGATAAATACAGCAACGCAGCAGGTCCCAAGGGAACAGCCATCATCATCTTGATTTTTATTGGCCTTTCATTGAAGCACCTCCATCTTGCACTCCGCCGTGCATTTTTTCTTCCAGATAAAGGGCATTCGAAACCCATCCAGACATCTTCAGACTAAAGCAGACAGGGCTTTTTTCTGGACAGCTTGTCAACAAACTTGCTCATGATGCAGCGGTTTTCATGTAGAAACCCTGCTTGACACCTTCTAAATTTCTGTTAAAAGTGAAGCGTGTCATGCAAACAGAGTATTCTATTATCAGAAAAGCGACATGGTTTAGATTTAACAATATTAATGCTAATATTTGCGTTTTTACACCGCAGAATGTGGATTGATTGAAACCACAATGCCGAACCCCTCTGCTGTAGTTAGCATCGAGTCAATTTTGTTTGTAGGGCACAAATTTAACAACGAACACAATGACTTCTCCATTATTGTTCACTTTAGGTATCGATCTGCAAGCGCTACATTCGAGGAGTTCTTTGCCCCCTCGAAAGCTACAATAAACCCCTGCTGTTCCAGCTCTGCTTCGACAGCACCAGGCGTCTCCTGAAACATTGATAACTGTTAGCTGGCTCTGTGATATTTCACCAGGGATGCTGAGAGAAACGGGGACCTTGTGGCCCCAATCGTGCTTTACAGCTCGAGCTAACAGTGCTGTAATGAACCTCCCCCTATCGCCCCTTCACCCATCTACTCCGCTCTACCTGCCTCACACACGTTGGGTAATGAACTGACGGAACACATGTGCATAAAGCTGTCGCAGTACATCAGCATGCTACAGGAGGGGCCTCTGCCCTCTGCATGCATTAAAGCAACCTGGCTGGTCAGCCATGTTATGGACTGCTTGACTCTCACAAGTCTATTTGAGGTTTATTAGATGCTAAAGGCAGCAATTGAAAAAAGCCAATCTGCAGAAGCTTAGTCAAAGACGATAATTGGCATTTATTCTGCTGTGGAAGGCTGCAAAATGTCATCTAATGTAACTGTAAGTCTAGATGAAGAATACATCATGTTCTTGGCAAAGAAGGAATCGTAGAAAATGTTTTTTGATGCACACAGGATTCTCATCTTGCAGTGCATTGTTGCATTCCGCCCATGAACAATGAGTTGAACATAAAAGCGTTCGCAAGCCATTTTACTTTTATAATGTTATGTATTATATGAGAGAAAAAAATATGGGTAATTTGCAATTGATTGGATGGTGAAAAGTGGGCATCATATAAAAAGTAAGAGGGTTTTGTTAAGCTTATCATACTTTAATAAAAAATTACGAAGAGAAGTTGCCATTTTATGTTCACCTAAGTAAATGTGTTCAAAATAAAAGAAAATAACATGTTCCATGAAGAACCTTTAAGATCCCTGGAAATAACCCATTGCACAAAAGGTTCTTTATATGAATGATTCTTCCGATTCTTCACTCTATGAAAAAAAAAGGTTCTTTTAAGAACTGTTGACAGAGAGGTTCTTTCGGGAACACAAAATGGTTCCTTTAAAACTCCTTTTGGAACCTTTATTTTTAAAAGTGCACAAATGCAAATTCAGTATCACGTTCTGTTCCATTAACTGTTTCAGTTATATTCAAAGTGCACTAAATAGTTTTGGTTTAACATTTAACAAAAATAAACGGCGAATAAACATGTTTGTACGCTCACACAAGTCATACTGTATATGGTCTAGTGGTCTTGTTGTGTTACACACATGGTGGTTGCCATGTTGACATCACATGACCTGCTGAATATTCATTTTACACTACCTCTATAATCCCCCATTATTAATAAATCAAATGGGTAACAAATATGTCTGTGGATAATGCATTTCTACAATGGCACTGGTAAATGAATCTTGGTGGTCTTTTGCATAGATTTGTATTTCATAGGTCATGTTTTAGACAAGGCATAAACAAAACATTTTTTTCTTTAAGTAAAAAATAATGAATACAAATGAAAAGCCAATTTAAAGAATTTACATTCATTGAGCTTATTAGTGAGCAAGGGGTTTGCTAGGAACAAATTTATCAAAATGTGAACAGAAAAGAACGTTATATATTAGCATCAAACCCATAGGAAATTGCGTAATTTAATTGGCACAATCAAATAAGACATTCATCTCGAAGACATGAATCATAGACAGGAAATGACCCAAATGGGTCCTAAACTCTTTGATCTTACTTGACACTTTTGATGATATAATTTTGACACGAGGTCGTAAGAAAATTTTGACCTTTACAGAGGAAATTACAGCTAAAATCACAGTATAATTGCACCAGGCCTCGCTCTGGAACCTCCATTCCTAATTTAGATGTACAGCGTCCCACATATGTCAAAATTTCTATGGGTGTTTACATCAAATCCAAGGCTTTAAATTGAGGCTGTTGAAATATTTGGCAGGATCTGTTCTAACCAGTGTCCTATTACTTAAGGGCTAATGGACTCAAATGAAAGCATCCCTGGTCGCCTACAAAACCTAAATGGATTTTGACGAAGGCTGCAGTTAAATGAAGAACTTCCCGGTGATATTAATGACACTCCTCACATCATAACAGTGGGTGATTTTTTGCAGCAAATGCATGCCCACTCAAAGCATTTTTCAGGTCAGCTCGAAATGCGCATCGAAAAATGTAACATTTAACAGAGAAAAACTCTGTTGTTGTGTTGTATCGCAGAATGCAGAGATAATTCATCACTTTCAGCAGCGCTCACAAGGGAAAAGTGGCATCCAAACAAACTCCACACAGTCCAAAATTAGCCAGAAATGAAGATGAAGAGGTAAAGTGACAAAGCAAAAAGCAAAAAGCACATAATGGCTAAAGTGAGCCTCGTTTTGGAGAGTAATATCAGAGAGGAGACAAGAGGACATTTTTACAGTAATTAAACAGGAACACAAACAGGCCACAGAAACATATTAGCGAGAGACTAATCATGACAGTTCAATGTGAAGCGATCATTAATAGCAAAGATAAGCTTGTTAGCCTGCCTCGGTCAATATTTATACGTTTTCCCCTCTAATTTAGCTTTCATTTCACTTTGGGCCTGCTAAACCAAGCGTGGGACCAGGCCGGTGCTTTTTAGAGTAAATGGCAAGAACAGGTTTTGCAAAATGTAAAATTTTATTTTCAAAAATGTAAGCAACAGATTACACAGTTAACTTTCAGCAATTGCAGTCCTAACTTAACAGTACTCACATTCGGGACTTCAAAATGAAAGACTCACAAACTTACACACTATCTACCTATAATATACAAAAAGAATACAGAATAAATATTAAAATGGCCACAAGAGAAAAAAGTAAGTTAATCAAAACAATTAGTAGAGAGCAAATGTTGGGAAAGTAGAAACAAGACTCTGTGCCTTAAATACAATGTTTTTTGTTTTTCCTATTACATTTTTTACAAATTGTGCAAGATTTCAGACTAAGGCTCTGGTCTTGACATGACAGCTGTTCGCCAAACACACACGCACGCACGCACACTCACGCACAGACGTCCACGCACACATGCTCCCTGTGCTCTGCTCACTCAGTGGGGTGTAGCAAACGTTACAGGGTAAGAAATGGGCTGTCGGTGCACGGTCTGTGATAGTGGTGGTGGATACCGTGTTTCAAATGAACATGTACTTCACCATGATGTGGAAAGCCTCCCGATATGCCTCAAGGAGACATTTTAGAGGAGTGTATTTCGAAAACAACCCTCACCTTGCAAATGAAAACATGAAGAAAACACCAGAACCATTAAGGCAAGAACAGCTGGAGTGGTATCTGTAACAAAATTAGCGTGTTCGGGTACATGGATATGCCACACTGAACTTAGCTTAACTGGTTCTCCACTGTCAGTTTAAGTACAAGGTTCTCAAGCGCAACGTTTAAAATTCAAACAGTAGTTTTTAGACTTAGAAAAATGAGATAAGAAAATAACATTGCCAGACAACAGAGACATACCACATGGATCATAAAACTACAGGAAATAATTGAAGTTGCAATTCCGGAAACCACACGACAGTACCCGCCCCCTTAAGACTCGCCCACCAGCCCGCCCCAACCCCACCCTAAAAGGAAAAAAAGATATCACTTACATTTAAACCAATTTATCCTCTCGTGAAGGTGTATTCCAACAGAGTTAGTCACCCCACATGTTTTGTTTACTTACAGTGAAAGAGAAGTCTGTTGCAGATTAAAGCATTCGTATTTCAGTTTGGGAAAAACAAGACATCCTTGCAATGCGACGGCGCGAAAAAAGCATCTTCAGGTCTTCTCATTAGTGCAACTTTTTAGACACAAATTCCAGTGATTCCTTAAGGTAACAGTTTGATTTCTTTACACCCTTTCCAGAGTCTTCCAGATATCCAAAGCAAAGGTCAGTCCCTTCTCGACGTATCCGTTTATTCTTTTCTTTCCATTTTTTCCTTTTTTTTCAATTTTTTTTCTTCTTTTTTTTTGCGTGTTGGGTTTCAAATGGCCTTTCGCATCGGTTGTTTACTAGAACATAAACGCGGGACGTGTCCTCTGTCCGTTCGTCATCGTATTCCATTCAGACGGTTCAACTACAGGCCTCAAAAAGGGAGCGAGAGGAATGGGAGGAGGAGTAGAGAGCTGTACAATTGAACACATCCCTGATCGACCGGGGCATCCAAACAAAAACCACATTGGATAAACAAGAAACGCCACCGAACCTTCATATAACACAGTAGGGTTCTCTCGGTAACCTGGATTTTCTGCAGTAGAGGAGCGTGGTGCTGAAGCATCTCCGGAGCTCCCGGTTGGAGAAGATGCAGATGAAGGGGTTGACTCCAGCCTGGGTGAAGCTCATCCACACAGCCGCCGTCAGGTAGCCTCCCGGGATCACTGGGCCTCGGGCGAACACCCTCCAGTAGCAGGCTACCAGGTAGGGTCCCCACAGGCTCAGGAAGAAGAAGGTAATGATGTAGAACATCCTGCTTATCCTCTTTTCAGTCTTAAACTCGTCCAGCACCAGCAGACGCCTGCGGCCCGCCGCATTGCTGTTCTGCCGGATTCCCAGCAGGGTCGGCGGTGTAGGGCCCCGGCCGAAGCCCGCCAGCCAGTTCGCCGCGGCCTGGCCGCTCGCCCCCGGGCCGTGGAAGGTCCAGTTCTGGCTGACGGCGGGCACAAACTGCACCGGCTTCATCTTTCGGCGGTCGTGGACGAAAAAGATGAGCTTGAGGTAGACAAGCTGGGTGGCCAGGAGGATGAGTGCAAGGAGCAGCATGAAGCCCAACGAGTCATTGGCGCGGAAGGAGCGGTGCTGGAAGGTGCACTGGTCCTCCTCGCGGATGAAGGAGTACGTGCCCACGTCCAGCACCGGAGGGAACGCCATGGCTACCGACAGCGTCCACACCATGCATATGACGGCCAGGCATGTCCAGAAGGTCAGCCGCTTGGTGTAAAAGCGGTGATGGGCGATGGCCAGGTACCGCGTCACGCTAACGCAGAACAGCATGAAGGCAGTGTGGAAACAGGAGAGCACGCCCAAGAAGGCGATCACTTTGCAGGTCAGCGTGCCGTACGTCCAGGCTGAGCCATTCTTGACGGAGGTGAAGACGAAGGGGAAGCAGATGGCTGAGCGGAGGATGTCCGAAGCACAGAGGTCCAGCAGGAAGTAGTAGGGCGCTCGATGAAGGCTCTTGTCTTTGACCAGTAGGATGGAGATCAGGAGGTTTCCGACCACGCCGACACCGATGATGAAACCCAGGGAGGTCAGTTTAAGGAAAGTGGCGAGCGGAGAGACATTCTGCAAGATGTTATGGTCCCCTGCATGGCTGTAGTTCGCCATAGATGGAGAAGGGATCATAGAGAACGCTTAAAGCTTTAGCCAAGTTTCATGATCTGGATGGAGCGTGGAGCGATAGATCCATCTGGTGTGCTTTGAAGCAGGTTCCAGCCTTGTTCGTCGCTGCCTCTCTTCTAAGGCATCCTTTGTTCCTTTGTCTCATCACACCTAAAAGGATCCCTGAAAAACACGATCCACCCATTAGGATTCGCTCACACAAAACAAACTGGGGGGCTTTGCGTTGCATCGCTCATTTCTTTTGTCATTCAGATTGCTTTTCTAATTGCATACGAAATTGCGGCTGCAACGGTATGCCGTCTGAGCCGAGCTCATACAGTTGCTTAATTCAGCACAAGGATTCGGCATTGGACACTGACATAAATCCTGGTTAAAATAACAGACCCCCACCCCCAACATCTCCCCTTTTTCCAAAGCAAATTAAATAAATAACGGCAAAGACAGAGAGTGCAGTCGACAAGATGCTCATCACCATGGCTAGACATCCGTCTAGAGGCGTATTCATCGGTGCTATGATGGAAAAAGACTTGAAATCTAATGATGGTTATCCTCTACACTCGAAAGGAACATTTGTCGAAATGCAGCAAGAAAAGCTGTTGATCACACCCAAAGATCCTGCAGAATCTGACCATGTTCATTCCCAGTTTATCATGATACTGTGTAAAATCAGTCATGAATCCTCATATGATTGACTGTATAAAGGAATATGAAGAAATGCATCATGTTATATTTTAGATATATAGGTTATTAGTGTCTTTCATACAGACGTTCAGTGCAACAACACAATTTAATGCAAGTCATTTGGGGAAAAAACACAAGCTTTAGAATTACATTTCTGTTTTTTTCCCCTCTAACCTAGATTTATTGTTTATTAGTATTGGTATGATGACGAATTCGAGTAAAACAAAAATAAACAAACAATGGATTGCGTCTATAAATCGACTCTATTTAATAGCCTGCCGTTTCTTTCATATTAAACGCACGAAGAGCCTTTCCCTATATAATAAAATAATAAACCTTTGTGTCTCCAGTTGCATTTTTATAAAACATCCACCACTGAACACGTTTCAGTGCGTTGCATCAAAATAAGCAACAGATACAGGATCTTTTGGGTGTTTGCGTGTGATTTCAGTACACACACGATCTATTTTTCACTTTGCTTTTTAAATCGGAATGATTTCTGGATGGCTGAGCGTCCATTATAGGCACAGCAATTCCTTCAAATACATGCATGCAAATATCGAGATCAACAGAGACAGCGCTATAAAATATCAATTAAAAACATACCTGTTGATATTCCCCCTTTGTTTCCCTGGCGGTTATTTACATGGCAGCAGTCACTTTGCCGTAAAAAAGCTTTAGTTTTGTTGCCTGCTCTTTTCCCCCCACTGTGATTATACAGTAAACGGTGCGGACGGCGCATGCGCACTGGCGCTATTTGTGATGCCCGCAGCAGCAGCATCATCTGCACTGATGGGTGCAGCAGCATCACGGATCCCTTTTGCCCTTTGAGTGTACTAGTGTCATATGTGCCGTCACATGTGTTATAATAAATGTTTACTATGTATACTCTATCTATCTATCTATCTATCTATCTATCTATCTGTCTATCTATCTATCTATCTATCTATCACATAAATAGAAGACAGAAAATAATAGTGGGCTTTATGTATTTATTGTAAAGCCAATCTTGTTTTCTTATTTATGCATTGTATTTATTCTGTATTTGACAAACAAGACTTTGAACTTGAACTTATCTAACTGGGGTATCATTACATTCATTGTGTATTTTAATGTGCTTAGAAGGAGCGAGTAGCCTATATTACATATGGTTCAGCAGCACAGGATAAACTTACTCAACATAAATAATTAACACGGCCTGTTGTGTGTGATGCACATCATTGCCCTGAATAAAGACCAAGACGGGTGTCTCATTCTATTGCGTAATTGGCACTGGACATAGAATGAACCCAAAGGTATTTTTTTAACACTTCAGCATGTATAATTAAAGATATATGTATGATAAAGCATTAGATAAAATGTAAGATGGTTGCAACAACCTTTTACCAGCTAGTCCTGAGTTTAGTGCTGAAGTTCCTGTAGTTCAAACAGTAGAATGTAATATCAACACCAATGTCCTGGATTCAGTTACCAACGATTGAAAAAAAAAATGCATATCTTGTGTGCAATGTAAGTTGCTTTGATGTGTGTTAAAATGCATTAATGTAAAAAGTTATCCTCAAGTGCATACAGGTGTCCTAGCAAAAAAACTACATTAACTATGGATATGATCCACAAATCTTTGTCAATCATGTGTTCAGATGCCTTTTTCTTAATTTCAAAGTCTACTGTTTTATACTTTATCATTTAAAAGCTAACAAATGTATTTTTGTGAAATATTTTGCCTGAAAAGTTACTGTGCCATCATTCTTGAAAATAAATGTCACTTATTTTGAATTTTACTATCTAATGGAATTACATAGAAGGAATGACTTGAATGACTAAATACAGTACATATTGTATATCCAATTAATTTCAGAGAGAGAAAAAAGACAACAAACAACTTGTTTCCACACCTAATTAAAATTAGTTTTTCTTATTTGTGTTAAAGTGAAAAGAATTTTAATGCATATGACTTCAAACACGGTCCATCAGTTTGCAACAGATGTAGTCTCATACTTGAAAACAATTGGCAGATAAGTGCACAACGCTTCTGTAAAGCACATTTGACATTGAATGCTTTATATAGACAGAGAAAGCAGTAGCCATTTAACAATTTAGTGCTTTCATCACAGTGTTGAAACTGGAAGCGGATTGTCTTGCAGTGATTGTAACATGGCAGGAGACCAACATCAAGTCCACCATATGTCCAAGTCCATAGAAATGTGTCAGAGAATGTCTGCATGTGATCTTGTAGTCATGCAGTAATAACCCAATGAGCTTTTTAATGCTGATACTGTTGTAGAAGTTTCCCACATGGTGCACAGAGACAGGAAGGAGGTGTCCAGTGTCCCACATAATAAGGATAATGCGTCAAAGAATACAATCAATAGCTCATATTATCCATATAGGTCCTTCCTTTGCGCGCATTTCCAACTATTTTCGGTATAAATGCATGACAGTCTTTATGCACTCAGTCACATTTCCGGATGAGGCCTTGGTCAGCAGGCTGTCATCAAAACTGGCCGTTTCGTTTGCGCGCGTACCAGCCGAGAAACGCGCAGATCCCCACGAGCGTCACTGTCGCGCCCAGCAGCAAAGCCGCCGCGTCTCCTCCGTCAAACGCCTCGGCGGTCTGGACGAGCGTCAGGAGGAAAAGGCAGAGCATCGTGACTGAGTTTTGGTCTTTGAGAGCCATGTTGCTGGTCGCCTGTGAGGAGGGAAGCGCAAGAGCAATGACGACGCGTCAGGTGATCTCGCTGCATTTCCTGATTTTACGAAACCTACTATGAGAAATGTTTGTTATTAATATTCAAAAGCTTGGACGAGCCATTGGAAAGTAAAGACGCAACGTCATCATCACAATAATAATATTTTTTCTCTATTGGATGAAAACGTCCGAATGGCGTAATTAATATTAACGAGCTAGGCCTTATACGTTTGCCATAGTAGGAATCGTAATCTCACCCGAATGTGCATACATACAGTACATACATACATATTTATTTATTTATTTATTGTAAATCATTGAAAATGTTTTTTTTTTTTAGGGTAGATTCCTGAAATCCATCTTAATAAGCTGATTGGAACATAGCTGGTTGCTAGCTGTTTGCAACAAACTAGTTACCTGTTTATAATACCAGTAGGTCGCTGTGATTTTGCCAAGTAAGACATGTTCCTGGATCAACATTACTGTCCAAAAATATAGACTAAACCCAATCCCTACCTCTAAACTTAACCGTACCCATAATTTATTCCTAAAATCAGTGTGAGATGATAGCTGATTAACAAGGGTGTAGAAGCACCTAACCCTGATCGTAAGCCTAAAACAGATATTTCCTGAAAAGTTATCCCTCAATTCTGATTGGTTAATTGGAATGTTGTTCCAGGATCAACAGGGATGTTGATCTAGGAACATGTTGTACTTGGTGAAATCACGGTCACCAATACCAGTAATACCAGTTTATGGTGGTTAAAATAGTTACTGGAAAATGATAGCTGGTCAACCAACGGGTGACTAGCAAAACCAGCTCCAAAACACAACTGCGGCACTTCATTACTTTAAGTAGCCTATTGCCTTAATGATAAAACAAGTTTCAAATATTCAAATAAGTTCATTCAGTAAGTATGACACACTGGACTTATGTTTTAAATATATAGTTTTTTTATTTATGAGAAAAATAATGTCTGTGGTTAACATAACTGAAGAGACTTTTATTCAAATTACCCATGGCTTTAGTACAAAAAAAAACACATTGTTACTATAGTTTAATCATGGTAACCACAAATTAACCATGGTCTTGCTACACTAACCATAGTTTAACCATGGTATTTGTAGTAAAACTGTGGTAATCAGTGCACCAAAAAACCATGGTTACTACACTTTTAACTATAATAAAACCAGGGTTAAATTTCATAAGGGATAACATATATTACATACTAACTAGTAGCTAAACAAAGACTACACCTACTGCAAATGGCTACAAATTCAAGTTTGATTGAGTGTAATTTATTTTGTAGTACACAATCTGAACGTCTCTTCAGTGTTAACCACCAACTTTATTTTGCTCATAAACAGAAAACCATCATTTTAAAAATCTGTAAGAAGTTCTGAAGGGAATCAATAGCAAATTAGTCCTCGGAGTTTGCCTATAGATTGGCATTGTGACTGAAAAGCTCTATAGGTTTAAATAAAAGAAAGGGCATTAATCTACTTACTAACTTAATTAGCTAACATGAGCCAAGAAAAAAATCTTTGCAGTCTTGGTTATGTAATAAGGTAATTAGCTTTTGACTGTATTTTAATTGAATACTGAGCTCTTTTGGAAATGGACATGGGATCCTACTGAAAAAAATAATTGTCATATGAAATTCAGATAATAGTATCAAATTATCCACAAATGCTTAATGTGACACCATTAATGCAGACCTAGAATCAAAGATAAACTGTCCGTGGGTGCGTTTTATGCTACCTATTAATCTTTTCATGGTAGTTAATATAACACATGTGATGCAACCCAATTAAACCCAACAACTCACTTAGGCTATATGTGCATATTTGTGTTTTGAAAACCAAATCATATTTTTTTCTTGAAAGACAAAGGGGCCTGTCATGAACTTTTCCAGCAAGAAAATACTGAAAACGTAATAGTGGCCTAACAAAAGTAAATTAAGAAATCAAATTTCCGAACTTCGTTAAACTAACCAAAGCAAATCAGATTCAAATAACACCAGACATCGTTTCATAACAGTGGAGCTAGAAATTATTAAAGTTTCCTAGTAGAGCATAAAAACATTTCCATCAAAGATTTCACACTGTGCTGATTAAAATAAAATGAAACGGAGTTTGTTTGCGCAGAGAATTTCTTTTAGTGGTTCTATGAATTCCTAAAAGGTTTCTGCTAGTTTGAGGGTTTGGCTTGACAAGTACAAGTTTTGGGCAGGGAAAACCCCTGCTATTAAGGAGTTCATAATATGTCAGTAGATGTAAATTAACAACATTATTACAGAAAGCTTGTCTTAAGTTTTGATATTAAATTAATTTGGTGTTTTGTTGTTTCAAAAAACCCTTGTTGATAATGTGTGTCTGGTTGTTGATGGTTTTCAGAAACTTCTTAAGAACATTATTCTTTATCACACTGACAGCAGGTGAGAGACTGAAAAGTAGCTAAGATAAAAATTAAGATAAATTATCAAGCCATCAAATGTCCTCAGTAATAATTCAGTTTGATTGGTAGGTCTCCCTTGACAATTTATAGTCATATATAAAGGGCGTCACTCCGTGTCAAATTACAGTCTACCTCTATTTACTTAATGCCATGAATGATAGCTTATGTTTTTTATTCCACTACTCACTATATGTCACTTTTTAGGGATTTTGCCAGCTCTGGCTCCAGCTCTGTCCAGTTGGACATGAAAGAAACAAATCTGCTCCGGTGTTTCCACTACTGATGTTTCTTTTTACCCCATGCCACAGATTAATTGGCGTGTCATGCAGGGGGTTTAGAGATTTTGCATCTCACTGTCTGCGTGCCACGCAGTTCTATGTAATTTAATTAGCGCACACCTGCCAAACTAAAAAGTATTGACCTTGTATGCCTGCCATGGTGCTTGTACGACCTTGTCTTCCTCCTGCCGACCCGTTTCCTGTCCCTCCCGCATGCTGGCTCAGAGATTATCACCTGGTTTGAAATGCAAGTTCTCTGCTAAAGTGTTCATTTGGATGCAGGACACATAGGGCAGGAGATAAATGGCACTGTCCTGACCCGCTAGAGAAACACTCTAATTTTTTCGATATTTTGCGATTTGAGCGCTGATCGGTGACCAGGGCTCCTACGGGCCGCTCAGAGCCGGGTGGGATGGTAGGGTCATGGAGAACTCGATGATGAAGACACTTGGGTGGTATATAAGAAGCTGGAGACCAGCACACCAACATCCAAAACACAAGTATATTTATATTAATATTTGAAACTAATATTTATATTAATATTTGAAAAAGATAGGTAGATAGATAGATAGATAGATAGATAGATAGATAGATAGATAGATAGATAGACAGATAGACAGATAGATAGATATGAAAATTATTTTCATATTATGAAAATATAAATGAAATTACTCTTGAGCATAAGAGCATAGTGCTGCTATTGGTCATGATATATAATATCACGGTATGAGAATATTTTATGCAATTTATACTTTAAAGAAAAATTTAAGAAAAAATAAAATATTAATAGTCATCAATATTAATATAATATATAAATATATTATGAAAAAAAATATATATAGTGTATTTATATTTATAGTTGAAACAATTTTTCTAACATTTTTTGTAATGTATATTTGCATTGGAATATATATATATATATATATATATATATATATAGAGAGAGAGAGAGAGAGAGAGAGAGAGAGAGAGAGAG